TATATATATATATATATGTAAAATAGAGGTCACAATATTCTCTTACAGATACGTACAGAAGTATCTGCACTGCTTTGATTACACATTCTCTAGTGAGAATCTCTTTTAGAAAACCTGCTTATGGTATAATACTCAGCACCTACACAACTGTAGCTATTGTGCAATGGTCCTTTGGTGTGATTTGTCTTTTGGTGTAGCACTAAACACTCGCCTGATCTCAGCCATGCACAAGCTGACATTTAAAATGCATTTATTTGCCAGAACCTTCCCTCTGTGGAGTGCTCCTTGTGGAAAGGAAGGAAGAATAAATCTCCACATGTGAGAAAAAGAAATTCATCTTCAAGCTGCTGGTGAATGAATGGGCACAGAACAAGAGGACCAGGAGAGAGGAGTGTCACCGACATCGCCCACATCATGCCCCAGTGCCTACAGCAAGGACTCGGGCTCCCCTTCCCTGCCCACGGGGGTCTCAGCATCCCTGAAGCAGCCCCCTTTCCTCAAGGAAGAGCTCTCCCGATGGCTGTTGAACTCATAGACTCGTCGCTTAAACAAGTGGTGGAGCTTCTCCTGGAACTGGTTCCCGATGAAGCAGTACAGCAGCGGGTTGACACAGCTGTTGGCAAAGGCCATGCAGATGCCGAATGGCAGAGCTGTGTCGATGAGCCCTGTCACCATGCAGCTGCTGATGATGTTCATGTGAGCCAAGGCATCCAGAAACGTCAAAATGTGGAACGGGAGCCAGGAGATCAAGAAGGCCACCACAACAGCAGCCACCAGCTTGAGCACTTTGTCCCTCTTCTGCTTGCTTTTCCCAAACTCCTGCGCTTTGAGCAAGTGCTTCCTGATCCGCATGTAGCACGTGGTGATCACCGTCAAGGGGATGAAGAAGCCCAGGGCATTTTTCAGGAAGGCTGTTGCCACAGACCATTTTGCATAGCTCTCCTGAGGAAAGGCCATAATGCAAGCATTGACCCCCAAGCTTTCGATGGAGTAAGTGGCACGGAAATAAAAGGTTGGGAGGGAGGACAAGCAGGCAAGACCCCACACAACCAGTGCTGTGAAATAAGCTTTGTGCAGAGTTCTCCTTTGAGAGTGAATAGGGTGGACAATAGCGTGGTACCGGTCCACACTCATGCAGGTGATGAAAAATATACTTGCAAACATGTTCAAGCACAGGACAGAACTGGAGATCTTGCACATAAGAGACCCAAAGAGCCAGTTGTAGCCCTGTGCGTAGTAGGTAGCCCAGAAGGGAAGGGTGGCGAGGCATAGCAGGTCCGCCACGGCCAGGTTGAAAATGTAGATGTTGGCGACTGTTTTGGGGCTGCTGTGACGACAAAGCACCACAACCACCACACTGTTGCCAACCAGCCCCAGAACCAAAACCACGGCGAAGAGCGCTGGGATGAGTGAAAACTGGTAACCTGAAGAGGTGAGTGAGCAGGGAGGGGGCGAGCGCAACGCAGCTGATGCGTTCGTCAGGGCTGTGTGGAGCACTTGGAGACTCTCTCTGGGGGTGACGACCAGCGAGTAGTTGCTCTGCATGTTGGTGCTGGTGGAAAGGGCAGTTCTGCAGGCAATGCATGCGCTAGCAGCACTGCTCTATCCCATTGCTCACCTGCAGATCACAAACCGTGTGTTAGACATGCAGCCAGCTGAGCTCGGGAATGGGTCACAACAGAACAAAACCCACTGGAAGTGCCATCAGTGATCCACGTGCTGACATCCCAGGCAACCCTGCTGCAGCCCTCTCCTCTGCCCCACTGACACACACAATTAGCCCTAGGGAGGTCACAGCACTTTGTAATTAGCCTGGCAGAGAAGCAAGCAGCTGGGGTTTATCTGTGATTACAGATGGGGCTTTCTGTGGCCAGCATAGCAGCAAGATTCTTGACTTGGGAGCTGGAGATACTTCAGCAACCAAAGGCAGCATCAAAGATCCTTGGGATCCTTTTCTCAGCTTTCTTACACTATTCCCAGCACTCTGCACAGTTAAACTGATGTGGGAAGGCAGCACTCACCAGTGGGGATCAGGTACTTCACACCTGAGCGTCCCTCAGGAGCTCACAGCCTTTTAAGAAGGCTATAAGAGGGGAAGCTCTGACCTTGTTTTAATTCACAGGGCTGGCTACGCAGACACGGAAGGGTCTGTGCTAAATACCATTTACTGTCATAGTCCTTAAAGCAAACCTGCATCTCCTCCCTTTGTGACAGCATTTAATCAGAGTAAAAGAAGTATTTCCCATGTAGATACAAGTCAAGCACTCAGTCCTCACAGGAGCTGGATTTAACACCAGTATTTGCCATTCATTTAGAAAGATCAGGACTGGGTTTCAGGAGGGGGAAATGCAGCTATAAACCAGCTAAACCAGGAGAGTCTGTCTGTGTTCCAGTTCAAGAGCTCGTGTCTGCACTCCAAGCAGGGCACATTTCAAACTTTAAGATTTTATAGGCAATAAAGAATATATCAGCTCCAGATAGTCTATTTTACATAATAGAAAGAGAAAAATCCTTTTTAATCGAGTCCTTATGGAACCAGGCATTTAGGAATTCTGAACACGAGTTCTGACCAAGACACCAGAGTTGGGCAAGAATTTCTCAACAAACAGAAGGCAACTACTCATTTCCAACACATTTTTCTGTATTAACAGTGTAATGTACCATTAGGAGCTTATCATTTGCCTGATGCAAAATATGCAATGTGCTACTTTGAATATACTGACAAAAGATTAATTTGATTGTCTCAACAATGACGGCTCAATAGGAGAATATTAATGCACATTTCTGCAGAGTGCTGGTATTTCAAGTCCCTGGTACTGGATCACAAGCACACGTTCTGTTATCAAACAGGTCTTAAAACAGAGGAAAGCTTCTGGTTTGGGGACAACAAAGATTTAGGAGAGGGAATGAAGCCCCGTTTCACTCTCACTTTAACATACAGAAGCTCAGAACTAGTCACAAAGCATTACATATGTCACTCCTAATAGAGGGACCACACCATAGTTAATTTTAGCTACCTCCCCAGAATAAGGTTTCATTGACAAGCACACTTCCCCCTCCACACATGAACAACTGGTGGCTTAGAATCTGCTCCAAAACTGGTCATTCCTATTACTACTTAAGACACAACGAGGTGTTTTATCACAAATTGAATCAAATCAATGGGAATTGTATTCTAACAGCAGATAGAAAACGTACCTCTCTCAGCCCACATTCGTCTGGGTGTAGCTCTAGAGTTACGTGCTCCTTTCCTCCACTTTCCTCCTAGTGAGTGTCTCCACCAGAAGCTGCTCGCTCATATCTTCCATTTTCCCACTGGGAGGCTTTAACCTACATAACTCGAGAACTGCAACATGAACGCCTGCCAGCTTCTTTTCCTTTTGGAAGCAAAGCAGTGGGAGAACCCCCCTTTCCAAGGCCACGTGAGCACATGCAGTAAATCAGGAGAGAGGAACAAGGCAACCTAAAAAAAAGAGCAGCAGCAGCAAGGAAAAGGCAAATCCCACAAGTAGTGCTGCAGTTTTCTTCTGCAGCTCTGGTGCCAGGAGGGTACAGCCCCTCCTGCCCCTCAGATGTACATGGTGCACACGTGCCAGCATCCGTGCAAGGATTCACGGAGGGAGCTCCCATGTGCTCTATGTCCCAGCACTTGCCAACACGACTGAGAGAGGAATAAGGCTGTTAGTGCTGGCAGGGCTGCATCATGTTAACACGCTGAGGCAGAAAGCAGAAGAAGACCACAGCATTCACACCAGCACTGCCTGTGGAAGGGGGATGATCCTGCCCCCCCAATAACAGGACAGAAAAGCCACTGCCTGAATCCTTGCAAAGACACACACGCTGCTTGAGCCAAGGAGAGGAGCGGGATGGGTCCACGTGGCAGAGAGCAGGCTTGGCTCTGAGCCTGCCCTGGGGTACCACGCGGCCAGAGGAAGCAGATGGGGAAGGTTGTGGGTTCACATCAATTTCACTGAGCTTTCACATCTGCTTCTTCCCTGTGTTACACACTCTGCCGGCCCCAGCCTGCTCTCCCTGGAAGGAGCAACAAAGCGGCTCCTGAAGGACAAGCACTGTAAGTAAGTGTCCCTAAGCCTTAAACGTTTTGCCCTGAGACCCTGAGTGATATCGCTGCAGCAGCAGCCCATGTAGTGGGGACACGTGTGCTCTGCTTCCCAGGCAAAGCTGCACATAGAGCCACAGCCTCGTTTGTGTTGAAGGGAGCTTAAAGCTCCTCCAGCTCCAACCCCTGCCACAGGCAGGGACACCTTCCACTAGAGCAGGTTGCTCCAAGCCCCTGTGTCCAACCTGGCCTTGAACACTGCCAGGGATGGGGCAGCCACAGCTTCTCTGGGCACCCTGTGCCAGCGCCTCAGCACCCTCACAGGGAAGAGCTTCTGCCTCAGAGCTCATCTCAGTCTTCCCTCTGGCAGGTTCAAGCCATTGCCCTTGTCCTGTCCCTCCATCCCTTGTCCAAAGCCCCTCTCCAGGTTTCCTGTAGGACATGCCTGACAAACTAACCACAGAATTCCCTCTGGTGACATGTCCCTCACCCATTCTTTGAGCAGCAGCAGCAGCAGCACAGCCTTGCAGTCAGAGGTATCCGGCTCTGAGGGTTTGGGGGAACCCCAGTACCTGCCCTTGCTGTGAGTGCCTTTGCACACAAGTGACTGGTGGAAGATCTTGCTGCAGTCTTCATCAAACAGCCAGCAGGCTTTGTAAGCAGGGGAAGAAGCCCAATGCATGAGGATGTTTATGTTGCAAAGATAAGAAACACAAATTGTTTAGATTTAAATATAAAGCTTTTCTTTCTAAATGCATTTTTGATCCTCACAGACACTGTCTCTATTCTGTTCTACCTCCAAAACTGTCTGAAACTCCATGCGGGGTTTGTACCTCTTCATAGGCAAGAGAAGGGCTGGACATACCTGATGTGATGGGGGACATACCTTAGGTGGCCCTTTGCCAAATCCTGCTCTCATTCTGACCCCTGACAGTGCTCAATGCATCCGACTCCTTCTCTGCTCCCAAGTTCTCACTCCAAAGCTCCATTTACAGCGCACCCGATGTACAAACCCCCTCTCTCTTCTATTCCCCCATTATTTCTTTCTTCACAGTTCAAGAGAAGCAAGAAATTCTGTTGCATGTTCACATTTACATTTGCTCACATTCACCATTCTAACCATGAGCCAATGTACCTAAAGAGAGCAGGAGAAGCTGCTCCACCAAAACGAACACTAAAATAACTGAAACCCAAAAACCCCACCCACAGAAAACCACACACACACACAATTCCAACAGCAGCTTTGGATCAGTTGTGCAGATTACATATAAAACAAAGGATTCACGCAGTCCAGGTCCTCGGTCTTGGGTTTCGCAGGAAGTGCTGCTGTCAGGGATGGAATATTCCAACCAGGCAACGTCTCCGGCTGTGCCAGCAGAGTGCCAGAGCCAGCTCCTGAGCTGTGACCAGCCTGCCAAATCCTCAGAACAACATGGGCCCCAGATGCAGGCTGTATTCATGGGCTTGATTGGTTCCTTTTGGAGAAAGCAAGAGGGGGAGAGGAATCTGTCATTGACGTGTTCCCTGGGATGAGTAACCCCGCATAGGTCAGTGTGGCTCTGGCCCTTCTGGTGCTGGTTTACAGCAGGATGCCCTGAATCCCTGGTCCCAGGGCTGGAGGCAGGAGCTGGGGATCCCACACCCTTCAGATCCATCACACTGGTGCCATATTTCCATCATGCCAATGACAAGCCTTTTGCACACACCCGCCCACAGCTGGGCTCCCCAGCACTCCATAAACTGCTATATGCATTCCCCATTCCCGCTGTAGTGGAACACGATGGCCACTCAGGCCGGACCCGTCAGAGTTTGGTATCAGAGAGCTCTGGTCCCATTCAGTGGACCTGCCATACTGAAGAAGTCAATTTCCTAAACTAGTTTGGAGTGGGGCAGAGGCAGCCCGGGCGGAAGAGGGGTGCCCTTTCCACCTCCAGCATGCAGGAAACTTTTCCAAAGCATTTCTTTCATGAGATGTTTGTGTCCAGGCAATAGTGCTGCCAGGACAGAGATTATCCCCCATGACATTGTTTATTCAAATCATTGGCTGTAACCATTTCACAAGTTACTAAAAGTAGTCAAGAAAACAAGCACAGCAGTGACTTTGGAAACGTGCTGCACCCGTTGGTGTTAAGGGCAGCGGGCTCTGCAGCGGGGGGAGCACGGCAGCACCCCAGCCCTGCTGAAGGCAGCGGGACCTGGCCAGAGCTCCCTTCCCCAGCACAACTCCAAGCCACGGCCCCAGGAACTGACAAACCTTGTGGCTTGCCCACAGTGGGCATAGAGCCTAAATCCTGCTCACGCTGCTATGGCCAAAGTGCAGCCAAGGAGAGACCTGCTCAGCCAGGTCACACCAGGAGCCACCCCCAGCTCTCATGAAAAGCAATTCTTCATCACAGGTAATTTTCTCCTGCTTGTTTCTCTCAGACCAGTTGCGGTGATGAGCAGCAGAAGTGTAACACCTTAAGTTTTATACCTAAAAGGGACTACAAGAAACCTGGAGAGGGGCTTGGGGCAAGGGATGGAGGGACAGGACAAGGGGAATGGCTTGAAGCTGCCAGAGGGGAGACTGAGATGAGCTCTGAGGCAGAAGCTCTTCCCTGTGAGGGTGCTGAGGCGCTGGCACAGGGTGCCCAGAGAAGCTGTGGCTGGCCCCACCCTGGCAGGGTTCAAGGGCAGGGTTGGACACAGGGGCTTGGAGCAACCTGCTCTACTGGAAGGTGTCCCTGCCCGTGGCAGGGTTTGGAGCTGGGTGATCTTTACGGTCCCTTCCAACACAAACCAGTCTGGGGTTCTACGAAGCCAAGACGTTGATGCCCAGAGCTTGTGGAAGAGAGCTCCCTCCTGTGTAACTTCTGCTTTATTATTACTAACATATCTGCACATAACCTGGCATTTAAAGGATGTGAGAGCAATATTTCACATTTATTTTTAGGGTCTCCAAGTGATTTATTTTTAAGAAGAGCTAGGACTCCGGCCAGTTCTATAGAGCTATGAACTACCCAGGGGTCTCCTTCCAGAGATCCTTTAAAAACCTTCCTTCTTCTGCTGTTTTGAACTATACTTACTGCAAACATCATTTTTAAATGTTTTTTTTTTTTGTCAGGAATTTCTCTTATGCAATACAAAAGCTGAGACACACACGAAAGGGAGTTCACCA